CGTCAACGGTGCGTCTTTAACGCTCGCTCGTAAGCCCAAGCTCCTTGGCGTCCGTTTCGACCCGCTCTTCATGTTCACAGACCGTGCCAGGGAGGTTGCAGGCAAAGTGACCCGCTGCAGCAAGGCCCTCAAGGCTCTAGCGGTCACATCTTGGGACTGCGCGAAAGAGAGTTTAACGACCACATCCAAAGCGCTGGCCAAGCCACACCTCATTTATGCGGCACCAATCTGGTCTCCCACGATCAGCTCTTCCAGTCTTCGCTGCCCTCCGCCCAATCACGGGTTACCATAAAATGTCGCCTATCGAGCATTTTCATGCAGAGGCTTCTGTTCAAGTGATCGCCTCTCACAACGCACTCTTAGGCCATTAGTTATGGTAAATCTGTTCAAAACCCTTCCATCCTAATCACCACCATTGCCACGCTCCTGACCCCAGCTGCAGCGTCTAGCTGTCTATTTGAGCTCTCTACAAAGAAGCTGTTGCATCTTGTCTTTCGGATCTACCCGTAGATGGTTCTGCCATCATAACAGGCTTCCAACGCCTTCATCAGAGAGCCGTTGTCGAAGCAAAACTAAGCTATCACCCTACGGTCCTTTTGAGCAGCTATCCACTTCCGATTGCGGCCTTGGAACAAAAACTCCAGGGGGCCACGCGCTGTACCTTGGTTCAACTACACAGTAACTACACTATGGTCCTTCGCCAGTACCAACGCCGGCCCGACCCACTCACATCCGACAGCTGTCCCGATTGTGGCGTCTCTTTACGTGATTGTCAGTATCCTTTTGCCTGCAGTTCCCAACCAGACACTCAAATCACCCCCGTGGTCCTTTGGCTCAAGCCGGTTGAGGTCGCGGCTTTTCTCCGTCTTCCGGCTACAACTAGTTTGAACTCCGGCGGGGACTCTTGATCCAACAAGGGCTACGACACACACGGACACCCAAAGGAAAACCGGCGACCTTAACAAGCTAAATGTGCAACGAGGGGATCCGGGGATGCCCTTTAAATTTCTAGTATTCTTGGTTGTTCTAGCGATTTTAAAGACGTAAAAGAAGAAAGTAAAAAAATAAGGTGGTGCATGTTAAAAATGCATGGAGTGGCGGCTGTAAAAAGTCCAGACGGACAACTATACATTCATGGACGATAAGAGGACGCAGTTAGTTAGCTAAGTTCGAAATTTGAAAATTTTTTCCTCAACTCGTTTGTCAACTCTGTTTCCACAGCCTCCTCCTCAAGGCAGTCCCGCCAGTTCACTTTCGACGGACAGTTGAGAATCTCTGGTGAGGCTAATACAGCCCTATAATGGAATCGGACAGTAAATTTGTCAAAATAAGCAGGGAAAATACAAGAAACTATGAAGCTTGATAATAAACCACAAAATTAAAACAAGATGAAGCCAGTTTTCGAAAATTTTTCAAGATTCACTAACCGTACGGAAATGAATGCTTAATTCGGACGCCCTCTGAGTGAGTAGGCAAAATTGACGTACATAGAGCACCCAAAGAACAAGATTCAGCTAGTCGTTCGAGAACGTGTTTTGTCGCGCTAGGTTCTGTAGTTCAGATGGCATGTGTCATTATGCGTGAGCTATTTCTACACCCAAGTATGAGTGAAAAGCATAACTTCAAACAGAGGGATAAAGGACTGGTCCTGTCAAGCTTCTTTGTAGAAATCAGTCATACAGAAAAACCGCTCAATCATTTCAAGGCGATCAGGTGTCTAGCACACTAAGTACTGAGAAACAACTCCAATACACATTGGACACAATCGGCAATGTAAGCATAGACAGTGCCCTTGAATATCTAGGCAAAGAGATCAAAGATTAGCCTTGCAAACAATAGCACAGGCGTTGAAAAAAACAACTTCAGCAGTAAAGAAAATGCCATAAAAAGCACAGGATAAGAGCAAGACCATGGACTTCTGAAATGCCATTGGCAGACATGCAGTTGCAGTAAGGGGCAAACTCACCTCCCGAAATTTATGTCTGAAGAGGAAATGTGGTCCTTTTCAACAGTATTAAATAACTTCTCCCCTGTCGGCAGCTCCACATAGAAATAAGGCACACCTGGTCTAGAGAACTAATTAGGAGTAAACACAGACAGATAAATGCAGTAAACGGATGCAACAAACAACAAACACACAGAGAACAGCAGGTAATTTAAAATGAGATAACACAATGTAGAGTTTGGAGCACCCAAAAGGATTGGGTCGTTGTGTCGGACCGAAAAGAAGGCAAAGCAAATGTTTGGCAAGCGCTGGATAGAGACATTAGGCAGAGCCAGTCCCTGTGTCCGATTGGATCATACTCAGTTGGCCCGACTCCAACAGGCCGAAAGAAGAGCCACTTATGGGATAATTTCCCACGCACCGACGTGTAAATGCCCAAATTATCTGCGACTATGCTTGATGATGGGTTCGAGGGAGAGTCCGAAATATGGGGCCAATAAACGCCATGTTCCAACGATGGTAACTTCTTTTAAATTTGCTAAG